AGAGATGGGCTACTGTATGATATGTTTAGCCATAATCTTAATCATAATATCTTCCTAGGCTTAATGGCCGGACATCTCCCTGAATGTCCTGTATGTTCTTAGATACACACCACTTAATCAACACTCACACACATTGATTTTCTCCATGTTTTGACTACTGCTACGGTTAGCTGTAAAGCTGGCATACCAGAGACGTCACGGTTTGACGTCCCTGTGTAGAATGGGGTTAGCCCAAAACAGATATAATGTACAGGCCTGTTGGGTTCGGGGTCTTTCATCTTTCATCTGCCTGCGTGCAGTTTGGAGGTGCAAGATGCCTGAGCGTGTAATGTTAATTTTTACCTGTGTTCATGGAATAAATCAGCACTGTTTTGTAGTTACTTGGACTGCCTCGTCTCTCAGAGTCCGTATGGTAAAAAGTACCGGGTACAACATCCACCTTTACTTCTTTGTCTAAGCAACACTGCATCCTTTCCCCACAGAGAAACCAAGAGGGAATCATGAATTAAACTTGTGCCTTATGGCGCAATGTAGCTCCCGGTTCTAATGCACTGGTGTGGGGTTTCTGTATTCTGAAGGATTTTGGTTTTAATGAAAGAAACAAGCTCAAGAAAGTAACGCCCATTTCTGCTGTGTTTGACATTTCTCTCTGTCTGGAAAGGGCTCCAGCCTCGGCTATGTGGCACTGAGCAACCAATCTCTGCTCCAAAGGCCACTAATTGCTTTTAGACACAGTTGAAGAACACAAGTCAGTCAGTCAGTCCATTCTGTGCCAAGGACTTTGATTTGCTCTAGATTGCATACATGCAATTAAAAGCCTTTGATGGCCCCCATAAGCCATCTCTACAGGCACTTGTTGACAATAAAGGGAGAAGTAAAAATCTGTCTTCAATTTTCAAGCAGAGAGGAAGAACTAACACTGCTGAGACACAGAAGAGAAATGGCAGAAATGACATCTTATTAATCCGATGGGTTATATTTAATTGCAAGGACCAGATGATGTTAGCATGTGCTGTTTGGTCTGTACACTGGTGTAGAATGTGACAGAAGGTTGTCAGTCACATCTGAGACCAGATGTCCCCGTTAGCTCAGGAAGTGACTCATCACTTAATATCAGGAGTCAAAAAACAATCTGAGATGCTAGAAGTCACTGTAGGCACACAGGCCTTTTACTGTTAAACCTACACTAAAATGAAAATGACATAAATGTGCAATTAAATGATTAAACGTTGTAAAGAAGGTACAGTGACTAAATAGCTCCCATGACTCCCAGGGCTTAAACTCAGAACCTTTCCAAATCTCTTAGACATCTAACAAAGCCCAGACTAATACTTATCCCACGTAAGAGAAGAGTTATGATGACACTGCAGACTCATCATTTGAAATGCCCTTGAGGAGGAGGTCAGCAGATTAGTGTTGTGATGACCTCTGACCTCAGATCATTCAGGCTCCTTAACTACTGAGGAATGAGAGGTCAGCACTCCTGCAGAGGTCTGACTCACCAGTACTCTGCAGGGCTTCATCTCTTCTAAAAGTCTCAACTGTAGCATCTGCATTGACAAGACCTGACCTGGTTAGGACTGCTGCATGGCGTGTAGAACTAAATGTATTGCAAGGTAAATTTTTGTTGATTTAGCTTGGAACACTTACTTTCACTTCACTCATTCTACTGTGCACTGTTTAAAGCTGCTCTAAACGTAAGTTGCAGCTAAATACTGTACATTAAATGTGATATAAGAGTGAAACTGGACATATACCAGTTTAGGCTGAGGCAAGAAGTTGTTGACCCTGGAGATACTCCACATGCCCTCAAGGTACTGCTGTGTCTGGATGGTGACAGAGTTCAAGGATCCAGTGATCTGCCCTCCTGCCACCGTCACCTGGACACTGGTCTTAGGCCCCGAAGAAGCCGAGGTACTCTGCGACCAGCCCGGCACCATATGTCGCTCCACAGTTTGGCCTTTGGACAGTTGTTTAGCATGAACACTGGAGGACGACACAGTGAATCTAGAAGGCTGTGGTAAAAAGGGTGTAGTGGGCAGGACTGCCCTGTCCGAGCTGAAGGTGAGAATGGGGCCGTGGAGAGTCTGCAAGGCCTCCTGCCTCAGTTGGTGAAGTGGCGTGGAGCACACCTGGCAACAGTTGACCCCAGCTTCATGGCTTCCAGGCGACTGGAGCTGCTCAAACAGAAAAGTTGCATATCCAGGGTCCTGCAGAGAAAAAACACACAAGAAGGGGCTTTAACACTATGCACAATATACACACTTAATGCATATAGCATATTCTTCTCAATCATATATTTGGTCATTTGAAAGGATTTCCTAAGTGCTGTTCACATTTTCCATGTGCGTCAGTGGTCTGCAGCTACTATGGTCTCTGGCTGCCCTCTGGGAGCCTCACCCCCTGCCTTAATCACTTCCTTTTTTCGGATAGCTGCTTGTTTGGACTGAGATGCTTTGCCTGTGTGCAACTTAAGACTCTGCTTCACCAGGCATGTTCTTGTTTCGCACTGTCAGCAGGAGATCTGAGACCAAACAAGCTAAAATCTTGGAGGGATTAGTAAAAGATCCCACATTTGAAAAAATGTGTCTTTTATTCATTTTGTGAAGCTTTAGAAAGAAAAATGCCAAGAACATTTCAGCTTATTACTGCTTTTAGAGGTGGTGTCCAGTAGAGTTTTGTCCTTTCACTTTGTCCCTAAGAAGGATCCCTAGGGTGTTTATCTCTGCTTAGAAGGAATGACAAAAACAAACAACTACTGAGGGGATTCTAGCGCTTGTAGCTGTACAATTTACATATGACGTATGTAATATTCATAAGTGTCCCTGCATGAAAACATATGATAGGCTGCCAAATGTGCAAACTACTTCCTCCAGGAGGCACACAGGGATATCAGTGAACTATTCAAATCCTAAGTGAGGGTGAAACATAACTTTCTTCTCTTTTAGGGAAACAAACAACCACATAAACACTTCACACACACAGACACACAAACACACAGAAAAGGCCAAGTCTTAAGAGGTATAAAGGAGCACTAGGCTTCTGCCCAACAGAGTCTTGGCCAAAGGCAGGAGCCCACGGACCATACATAAATGTTTATGAGGCCTTTGCTCCGTAGAACCTCTGAGGTGATCAAGATGAGCGAAGCAGCAGAGAAACAACAATCCGCTGCCCTAATGCAATGCCACTTAATACAGCTAACTCAATAGACCCAGAGACCATAGAGGCAGGTCAGGGGGATCTAAATCTCCTCCCCATTAAAACAGCTCAGTAGAAAGACTTTTACATGACCTTTCTCTGCACACATTAATAGCATGATCACACACCTTCCTACAGCCTCACAGAAAAATGATGCACTCTTACCATCTGTACATTTCTCTTCACTTGGATAAAAAATTGGTATGGTTTAAACGAGGAACTGACTTAAATGTAAGAAGCCTATAATAAAAATATGAGAGTTGTGATAGAGGTTTAAAAATGATAAACAATGCCGCTTCATACTGACACATCAGTAGTCTGTATAGTTATGCTCAGGCAGGATGTTTATGCAGAAGAGAGGAAATACGATGAAGCAGACTGTGACAAATTGGACTGAAATGTGAAACAAGGCAAAAGAAAACTCCACTGTCGGCTATTTTCACAGTCTAGTCTGGCTTCATGTATATGCTTCCTAGACAGGAAATTGAAGCAAAGCCATAACCAGTCAACTCTGCCCATCCATCACCCCTCACCCTTTACCCTCCGACCACCTCTTACCCACCTCAGGGCACTGGTAGATGGAAGAAATCAATCCCCCCCCCACCCTCCATACATTGTTAGGTGTTGATTTAGGAGAGCTAATAAAAAGACACACAAAGCTGAGACCATCTGCTATTCACTTAGGATTCTGGAGGTTAGAGAGCGGGCTTCTCCTGTAAAGCTGTCTGTAAGCTTTATGCCCACTGGAGTGAATAAAGGGTCACAGCCACAAGGCTTATGAGTATAATGGCACTGATGATGATGATGTGGGAACTTGGAAGAGAATGATGTGGGCATGAAACAGAAGGCCACAGATTCCATCTTTATATGGTACATAAAAGGCAGAGAAGGGATAGCAAAAAGGGCATCGTGATTGATAGATAAGTCACACATCACTCAGAATGCAGGTTTGGATTTAAAAACATATAAATGTGACACAGTAAGGCTGGCTGAAAAGTCAGCATATAGTCACAAGCATAAACAGTTCGCTCGTAAGTTTGTGCTATAACATTCATGCTAACTGCTTGAGAGCCTGTGTATAAGCATCAAATGGAAAACATGAAATATATGATATATGAGTGCACCCAGCCCTAAAGCTGTATCGTTTCTTTTATTATCCATATGATCTATTACTGACAGGTGCAAGTGGGTGTGAAGAGAAGTACTGCTTCAAAGAAGTATATAATGTATGGCAACAACACAATCCAAATGTTCAAAGCGTTCACCCCAGTGGAGAGGCGTGGAGCTACTTCAGGGCTATGAACCTTCAGCCATTGTTCTGCACAAGTGGGAGATGGTTTTGGTTTTCAACCTGAGGTCTCTCTGTGGAGAGAATCAAACTGCACCACCAAGGACAAGGGGGTACGGAGAGAGAGAACGAGAGACGGAGAGGTGGGAGGAGGTAGGTTGAGGTTGTGGCCCTTGCCTGGAGGCTTATGGGTGTTTATGTTGGTTGACTGCCTGTCAGCTCAGTTCTTTATTAAACTCCAGGGACAAATGTAGTCAGATCCTATGGCCTTATTATGAAAAGGAGGTGTGCTGAGAACACAAGGGAGAGAAAGCCCCGACTGTGAAATGAGCCTTTTACAGCCCTTGGAGGACTAAGTTTGTCTCTGTCCCTCACACTAACTGTGATGAAAACCAGGACAGCAGAGGCAGCAGCTAAAGAGAGAGCCGCCCAACTAACCGACTGTCTCTGGGCTGATGGAGAGTGTCATCACTAACAGCCCATGCCCAAAGGCTGATAGAAACAAGCTCAGCCGTAACCACTTATGGATGAGGGGACAGGGAGAAAGATGTGCATGATTTCTCTCCCATGCCTCCTTAAGGCACAAACAGAACCAAGAAATGTCACACGTGGGATTTTTCAAACCACACCTCATTCACTTCATCGCATCAGTACACCTCCTCTCTAACCAAACAAAGCAAATCTACCATCTGACTGTTTCCACATGTAGCTTCTGATGTACCTCTGGTGTAGAGTGCCTGGCCAGATATAGCAAGTTGACTTAAATCAAGGCAAGGTCATAGCGATTTGAAATGCATGAGGCCCCCTCGCTAGCTGAGAGACTTTTAGGTATGCTCCATTGAAAGTGAAATACTCTAGGAAACCATATTTTCTATTCCAGTTGAGCCCAACAGACATTTCCCAGACATAAAAGCTCCCAGTGACCCACCACAGCAGTGGCAGACAAAGAAATGAATACAAAATTGTATCAATGTGCATCTATAATGAGAAAAAGCGAAAAGTTCTAACATGCAGTGGCCTGCAGCATGTCAACTCATATCTAAACTGCTCAAACTGCTAAAATGCTCAGTGGCATTCTGTCAGATGTGATTTACTTCCTTATTTTTAACATCAGTCATTGTGCAGAGCTGGACCGTACTAACCTGAACTGCAGCAACAAGACCTTCAGCGTCCTCTGCATGCATTGTAATTGTAAGATTAAATTGCTCAGTCAGTATTCCTTTCCTCACTTTCCCTTCCAGGTTTCTCTTTTATTATTCTACCACCATCAGAACATTCTATATAATGAGTCAATACAACAGCACACCACTTTATATCTGTCCTCACTAAACTTTGTTCTCACCAACAGTGGGCCTGTTTACACGTTACAATTCTTAAGTACTTCCTATGACTGCATTTCTTGTAAAACCAAGACCTCACAGCAGCTGCCAACTCCAATGCCCTTTCAACCCCTTTCAACAGACTTTCCGTTCCTCTGCTGCCCTGTGAGGATGCAGCCGAGCCACCTCTGTTTACTCGGCCTGACACATTGTTGACCCAAACCACACACCGTCTCCGTAAGTCTCAAAGGGATTGGCCCCCAATAAACAGCAGGAGCCCAGTCCAGATCCCCGGGTGAGGATGAGAGCTTCCAGCAGGCCGTCTTTCCCACAGGTAGCCTGGCTCACTCTGACAGCCACGTCAGAGAAAAATGAGCACAGCTGCTGGCCTTGCCCCGGGTGAGTGCAAGGCATTAAAGTAGATTACATTCCCAGGATAAAAGCACCACATCCAGTGGTGTAATCCCTCCCTGCCCTGTGTTCCTTCTCAACGATCTCCAGCACCTCCACCTCGCTGACCTGTTCTCCAAGCCAGCCGACTTTACTCAGATGCCCTGAAGGAGGAGAGCTTGAAGGCCTTTGACTCTGATTACATATCAGGTAGAGCTTTTAGTGCTGCAGCAGTCTGGGATACGGACCATTAAATTTAACCACTGCCTGCTTGGAGGCAAGGAAGACAATGACTCAGGATGTCACACTAGCATGCTACTTAACTCTGTTGAAACTCCTTTAGTAGAACACAAAATGGAACAGCTCACCAAATCACATCAAACAAATGCTTGTCTCCTTCTGCAGACTTGACAAGATTAAACAAAACCCGCAAAATAAACAATTGCATCTGCAGCAACACAAGCAGATCATAGTTTTTACTTAATACCGCCTCAGACAAAATGCATATACTGTTCCACCACATTAATGATGCCATTCATCCTCCATGGCTGTGTGAGAAAAAACTCTGGCTATTTAATTTTTTTCCATTCTTTGTGGCTTTTTATGGAGCACAATGAAAATGAGTCAAATAATAAAATGTCTCTGCTGCTTCTCTGGCATTTCAAATGCGACGCTACATGCAGACTTATCCCATTATCTGAGTTTAGGCTTTTGCTAAAATGATTATGTTCTGCTGTCTCCTCCCTCTTTCTCGGTCTGACTCTCAAGATAACTTCACAGTTAAGTCAAGGTGAAACTTGAATAATCAATGTAATTTGTATTTAAAATCATGACCTTTTCAAGTATAGCTCTGCAAAAAATGGTTTGTACCATTACATTCTTCTGAGACAGATAAGCTTGTATTACCAACTATCTCGAAGACAAACGGCTTGCTTACCATCTCAATGAACAAACATCGCGTTTTGATGATTACCTTGTTTAGAGAAGTGCATCAGATTTATGCATCAGTGTTCCC